GACTATGATCTCTGACGTGACAGAAAACAACATTGTTAGTGTCGGCAAGCCTAACACTATTTTTGTGCTCCCTAAGTCTGTCAGAAAGAGATCGACCAGTTTCTCCGAAGTATTGAAGAGGACAGGAGGAGCAAGAAATAGAGTAGACACCAGGAAACATCTGTAGAGGGAGGAGAGGTATGAACGAGATTAGTGCGAAGAGTGTTAGTCTGGCGGAAGGTAAGCTTGATGTCTAAGGGACGGAGAGAACTGTTGAGATTAGAAAGACCGGAAATGTAGGGAAGGCAGAGGATAGAAGAGTTCCCATGAGTAGAGAGTTTGGGAGAGAAGAAATTGCGTTTAGCACGTGAGAGGGCAGAGTCTATGAAATGGGAAGGGTAGCCAAGACGGGAGAACGAATTATGAAGAGTGGAAATTTCTGCTGGAAGGAACTGAGGATCACAGATGCGGAGGGCACGGAGAAAGAGGGAGATAAGAACACTTTTCTTGACAGGGGAAGCATGATAGGAAAAGTAGTGAAAGTACATGCCACTGTGCATAGGTTTACGGTAAACGGAAAAGGAAAAACCTGTATCTGAGCGGTGGACATGGACATCAAGGAAAGGAAGCAAGGAATTAGATTCCCATTCAGCTTTAAACTTAATTTAAGGGGCAAGATTATTAAGAGCTTCAAGAAAAGGTTGGAAGAGACTGGAGTCATGAGGCCACAGAGCAAAGATGTCATCCACATAGCGGAGCCAGAGTGAAGGTTGCACATCGAGGGTAGGAAGAACAACAGTCTCGAAGTATTCCATGTAAAGATTAGCAAGGACAGGAGAGAGAGGAGAGCCCATAGCGACACCGAAGGTTTGAGAATAATATTTCCCTTGAAAGGAAAAGGAGTTAGAGTCCACACAGAGGCAGATCAGATCAAGAAAGACATCAGTGGGGATAGGGAGATGAAGAAACCCTTCATGGGCCTTCTCTCTAAGGAAATCAAGGACATCATCAAGAGGGACATTGGTAAAGAGGGACTCAACGTCAAGACTAAGCATCTTACAGGTTGGGAGGGAGCAAACCCGTTCAATGAAGTCTTGAGAGTGACGGAGGTGGGCAGGAGAAAAAGTACCAAGAAAGGGAGTGAGGGTTTTGGCCAGCCAAGAAGCAAGAGAATAAGAGACAGAACCTCTAGAGGATATGATAGGACGAAGAGGAATATCAGGTTTGTGAGTTTTGGGAAGGCCATAGAAATAGGGAAGAGAGGGACAGATGACACGAAACCGTTGAACAAGGTCAAAGTCAGGAGGACAGAGGTCAGAGAGAGTCCTTCCTTTCCTTGATGTTCATGTCCACCGCTCAGATACAGGTTTTTCCTTTTCCGTTTACCGTAAACCTATGCACAGTGGCATGTACTTTCACTACTTTTCCTATCATGCTTCCCCTGTCAAGAAAAGTGTTCTTATCTCCCTCTTTCTCCGTGCCCTCCGCATCTGTGATCCTCAGTTCCTTCCAGCAGAAATTTCTGGTTGTAGATGCCTTCCTCTCCCACTACATTCTAAAATGTTCCAAACTTCAGAACACCCGTGACTTAACCTGAATCCTCATTTTTTCTTTCTTTTTCTTCTTCCTCTTCCCCTTTCCTCTTTCCTTTTCTCCTCTGGGTTGTCTTTCTCTCTCCTGTCTCGTGTTTCTGTTCCTTCTTCATTTATTATATTTCACCACTTCCCCTTTCACGCACCTCTGTGCACTTGCTCTCCCTCTGTGGGTATCTAGCTCTCTTGCAGTGCTCCCCTTCCTTTGTTTTTGACTGGCTCGTCATCCTTATTTCCCACTTCTACCACTACCACTACTGCTACCTCTTCTTCTTCTACTACTACTACAACTACTGATGAAATTAAGACACATGTGCGGCATCTGGTTGTCTTTGTTGTGGACGTTTCGCCATCCAGTGCTGGCTGGATGGCGAAACGTCTACGATGGGGATGCCCGGGTGTTTGTGCATGTGTCTTAATTTCATCTTGTCGGTATTATATACAATTCTTGTACTACTACTACTACTACTACTACTACTACTACTACTACTACTACTACCTCCACCTCTTCCTGCCTATATATAGCTGTCCTGCTCCACCTCTGTTAGTGTGACTTTGTCAATGGTCCAAGTCGGACCGAAACATCGTCGTAAGCTTCTCTCTTTTATGTGCGGGTTATTTGTGTAACGCTCATGTATGCTTACTGGAAGTCCAAACTCCTCGCCCACAAAACCTCCTTTACCCCCTCCCTCCAACCTTTTCGAGGCTGACCCCCTACCCCACCTTCCTTCCCCTACAGATTTATAAGCTCTTCAAGTCCTTTTACTTTGCTCTATTCTCTCTAAATGACCAAATCACCTCAACAAACCCTCTTCTGCCCTCTGACTAATACTTTTATTAACTCCACACCTTCTCCTAATTTCCACACTCCGAATTTTCTTCATATTTACACCACACATTGCCCTTAGACAGGACATCTCCACTGCCTCCAACCGTCTCCTCGCTGCTGCATTTACCACCCAAGCTTCACACCCATATAAGAGTGTTGCTATCATTATATTCTGGTACATTCCCTTCTCTGCCTCCATAGATAGCGTTTTTTGCCTCCACATATACCTCAACGCAGCACTCACCTTTTTCCCTCATCAATTCTATTCTTAGAATCATCCTTCATAAACTCAGCTGTTGTTAGGTAAGACACATATGCAACAGACACTGCAACACAAGGGTATCTTGGTACAGACCTGCAATCAACTTCGACAACTTCCACTAGTGAGAGGGGCTGGATTTGAGAGGGACCTGACTTCTCAACATCTGAGTTCTTACCTCTCCTAGTGGCCTACGTCTCACCTCTTGGCGCTATAAAAAGCTCCATCCTGTCACTTCTTCTCCATATTGTTTCATACTATGGAACAATGCTCTTCTCCAGACTGAGGGACTGACCACCTCAAAACTTTAAGGGTGATGGACTGATTACATCGTCTTCAAGTATCTTCTGCTTCTATCAACTTTTCTGTACTTGACTGAAGAAGCCTACTGTGTAGGCGAAACGTTTCATAATAAAGATACCTAACTGTTGCATATGTGTCTTACGTAACAACCTGTCGGTATTTTATACCATTTTAATGCATAAACTCAGCTGACACGTTAACTCCCAAATATCTGAAAACATTCACTTCTTTCATACTCCCTCTCTCCAATGTGATATCCAATTTTTCTTTATCTAGATTATCTGACACTCTCATCACTTTCAACTTTCTACCTTTACACACCCAAACTCGTCCACTAACCTTTGCAACTTTTCTTTAGAATCTCCCATAAGCACAGTATCATCAGCAAAAAGTTATTGTGCCAACTCCCATTTTAATTCCCCATAATTTAATCCCACCCCTCTCCCGAACACCCTAGCATTTACTTCTTTTACAACCCCATCTATAAATATATTAAACAGCCATGGTGACATTACACATCCCTGTCTAAGACCTACTTTTACCGGGAAATAGTCTCCCTCTCTTCTACATACCCTAATCTGAGCCTCACTATCCTCATAGTAACTTACCACCTATTTCAAACACTTGCAACATCTGCCACATTGTTCCCATATCCACTCTATCATATGCCTTTTCTAAATCCATAAATGCAATAAAAACTTCCCTACCTTTATCTAAATACTGCTTCAATGTAAACACTTGATCTACACATCCCCTACCCACTCTAAAACCTCCTCGCTCATCCACAATCCTACATTCTGTCTTACCTGTAATTCTTTCAATAATAACCCTACCGTACACTTTTCCTGGTATACTCAGTAAACTTATTCCTCTACAATTTTTACAATCTCTTTTGTCCCCTTTCCCTTTATATAAAGGGACTATACACGCTCTCTGCCAATTCCTAGGTACCTTCCCCTCTTTCATACATTTATTAAACAAAAATACCAACCACTCAACCACTATATCCCCCCCGACCCCTGCTTTTAACATTTCTGTCATGATCCCGTCAGTTCCAGCTGCTTTACCCCCTTTCATTCTACATAATGCCTCGTGTACCTCCCCTACACTCACATCCTGTTCTTCTTCACTCCTAAAAGATGATATACCTCCCTGGCCAGTGCATGAAATTACCGCTTCCCTTTCTTCGTCGACATTTAAAAGTTCCTCAAAATATTCCCACCATCTACCCAATACCTCCCTCTCCCCATCTACTAACTCCCCTTACTCTGTTTTTAACTGACAAATTCATTTGTTCCCTAGGCTTTCTTAACCTGTTTATCTCCAAAAAAATTTCTTATCGTCAGCAAAATTTGTTGACAGTGCCTCATCCACTCTATCATTTGCCCTCCTTTAGCATTCTCTCACCTTTATTTTACTCTCCATATACTCCACCCTTCTTATATTCTTTGTAAAAACCTCTCATAAGCGACCTTTTTCTCTTTTATCTCACCCTTTACCTCCACATTCTAATACTGCATTTTTAAAACTATCCCATCCCTCTTCAACCCCGCCCCCCACTACCCATACTTAAGCAAAAAACATGGCGCTTAATGCAGAAAGTGGATGTTGAGGATGAAGAAAATAAAAGACTGTATGTCAAACTGAAACAAATTTATATGAAAGAAGGTTGCAGACACAATATTTGGAAATGGATGGAAGAAATGAATTACAGATGAGTGTATAAAAGGAAGGAAAGTTTGACAGGTGTGAAGGTGGTTTCAGACGTATGAGCTCAAGGATCCATAAGGAATGTGTGATGGTGTTAGGCTGGAGTTACATCATCTTGAAGCATAAACAAGATGTTACTGAAGTGTTTCAGGGAAATTATTAGCTGAACTGTTATTATTATTATTATTAGGAGAAAGTTCTAAACCAGCAGGGGTCATAAAATACTCGATTCAAGGAAGGAAAGAAAAGGTCACTTTTTTGGACGAGGCCAATCCTTTCTTTTATCTAAAATATTACTGTATTACATACAAAAATATTTGGTTCTTACCAGGCCTGGAGGCAGCGGTGCTTGTCTCTTTTTTCTCCCCGTTTTGATTCTTGCTGAAGGAGGTAGCGACGATGTCATTGCATTTCGTTGAATGGGAGATAAACTTGCCGCTGAAAATGACTTGCGTGACTTTGTTTCTCGAGTTAATCCTTCAGTGATGTCAGTGTCTTCATCAAAGGGATTGGTAGAGATGCATTCACTTGTTGCGTTCAGTGACTGGTAGTTAACTGAGGTCATAGAGTCATTTAGATGCCTTGGTGAAAGAGATGAGCAACTTGAAGATATGGAACTTACTGCCGGAGATGACGATCTTATGGGTTGAAACTTTGGTTCTTCTAACTTGTCACTTGTCTCGTGAAAATCATCACTTATTTCGTCTTCCTCGTCAAAAGGATTTTTTCCTACACTTGCTGCTGCCACGGACGTGGTACGGACAGAACCTGAAAACGGCTGAGCTTGATCCTTTGACTTTCGTTCATCAAATTCATCCTCATCTTCGTCACTATCAAAGGGATTCAGTGATTTTCGAGGCTTTGGTACAGGAATGTGTTTTGATGATGATAGTTGCTCTTCACTTTCCTCGTCACTGTCAAAGGGATTTAATGAAACAGTTTTTCTGGGCTTGGGAACTGGAGGTGCCGGAGGCTTCTCAGCGTGTTGCTCTCTTCTCTGAACTTGAGGTGGAGGTTCTGGAGGTTCCAGAGTTACATCAGGTACATCTTCACCCACTTCCTTCTCACACACACTAACACTCAGCTTCGATTGCTCTGCGAATACAAAATTAGTTATGGAAACAAAATACAGTAAGTATAATTTACAGTGTAAAAATACATGAAACAGTTTGGTACAACACACACTGTATATACATGATCATAATGTAGATAAATGATTAAGAGAAACGAAAATTTTATAAATTTCGCCACACAGTGGCTTCATCAGTCCTATACAAAGAAGAATTGTGAGTGAAAATCAGAAGGTCGCTGAGGCAATCAGTCTCTCAGGCTAGAGTCGATGTGAAGATTAATGGACTGATTACATCGACTCCAGGCTGAGGGACTGATTACCTCAAACACCTTATGATCTTCACCATTTTTCTTTGTATATAGGACTGATGAAGCCACTGTGTGGCGAAACGTTTCCACAATAAAGATACCCGAGTGTTGCACATGTGTCTAATTACTAATCATAATGACATAACTGTGTTCAGATATTTAATATCTAGATGTTGAGTCATATATATATATACCAGATATTTGAAAGTTAATGTTTATTTTATCAACTACTTATAACATCATAGATCGTTAAGCTTAAACACAGTTTTCATATTTGTATTAAATAAGGCATGTGTGATATATATGGACGGGAGGGAGAGTCCACCTTGAGAAGCAGTGGTGACAGCAGTGACCACATCCAACAACCAAGTTCTTGGTGAATTGTATCAGACTTTAAAGTGATGGCCAGCAGTAACATCCTGGTTAATCAGGCTCTGATCCATGAGGCCTGGTCACAGACCGGGCCGCGGGGGCGCTGACCCCCGGAACTCTCTCTAGGTAAACTCCAAATGGTGATAGAGGTTATGAGGATCTTAATTACTAGTTGTCAAAGGGACTTGCTAACAGACACTTGGCCTGTTTTCAATGGTAACTGAGAGTTGTGATAGCGTGAGAGTGCTCGTCTATATGTGGTTGCGAGAGCTGATTCACAGCTCCTGGCCCAGTATGTGTTAGTTACCACTTTGTCTTAGGCACATGTCGATTAGACACTAGGCCTGTTGTACATGCGTGTGCGTGCGTGAGTGTGTGTGTGTGTGTGTGTGTGTGTGTGTGTGTGTGTGTGTGTGTGTGTGTGTGTGTGTGTGTGTGTGTGTGTACTCATTTAATTGTGGTTGCAGGGGTCGATATTCAGCTCCTGGCCCCGCCTCTTCGTTGATCGCTACTAGGTCCTCTCTCTCCCTGCTCTATGAGCTTTATCATGCCTTGTCTTAAAGCTATGTATGGTTCCTGCCTCCACTACATCACTTGCTAGACTATTCCACTTCTTGACTACTCTATGACTGAAGAAATACTTCCTAACATCCCTGTGACTCATATCAGTCTTCAACTTCTAACTGTGACCTCTTGTTGCTATGTCCCATCTCCGGAACATCCTGTCTCTGTCCACCTTGTCGATTCCTCTCATTATTTTATTTTATATGTCGTTATCATGTCCCTCCTGTCTCTCCTGTCCTCCAGTCTTGTCAGGTCTATTGCCCTCAGCCTCTTCTCATAGGTCGTAGGACATGCCCCTTAGCTCCGGGACTAGTCTCGTTGCAAACGTTTGCACTTTCTCTAGTTTCCTGACTTCCTTAGCCAGGTGTGGGTTCCAAAGTGGAGCTGCATACTCCAATATGGACCTGACATACACGGTGCACAGGGACCGGAACGACTCCTTACTGAGATGCCAAAATGCTATTCTTAGTTTGCTAGTCGCCTATATGCTGCAACAGCTATATGGTTGATGTGCTCAGTATTATACACACTCCAAGATCCTTTTCTTGAGTTAGGTTTGTAGTCTTTGGTCCTCTAGATTGTACTCTGGCTGCGGTCTTCTTTGCACTTCCCCGATCTTCATGACTCTACATTTGGTGGGGTCGAACTCCAGAAGCCAGTTCCTGGACCAGGCCTGCAGCCTGTCTCTATCCTCCTCCGACTGAATTCTCCTCATTAATTTCACATCATCTGTCAACAGAGACACTTCTCAGTCCATTCCTTCCGTCTTGTTCACAAATACCAGAAACAGCACTGGTCCTAGGACTGACCCCTGTGGGACCCCGCTCGCCACACGAGTCCACTCTGACACCTCTCCACATACCATGACTCGCTGTTGCTTTCCCGTCAGATATTCTCTGATCCATTGCAGTGCCTTCCTTGTTATCCCTGCCTGGTCCTCCACTATGCAATAATCTCTTGTGTGGAACTGTGTCAAAAGCCTTCGTACAGTCCAAGAAAATGCAATCTACTCAACCCTCTCTCTTTTGTCTTACTGCTGTCACCTTGTCATGGAAATAGTAGGTTCATAACACAAGATTTCCCGTCTCTGAATCCGTGCTGGTTGTCGTTTATAACCCCATTCCTTTCTAGAGTCTAGGTAGTCCACCACTCCTGATAATCTTCTCCATAACCTTGCATACTATACCTGTCAGTGACACTGGTCTGTAGTTTAATACTTCTTGTCTGTCTCCTTTTTTAAAAATTTCGACTACATTTGTTGTCCTCCATACCTCAGGTAGTCGTCCTGTTTCAATAGATATGTTGAAGACTATACTTATTAGTACACAGAGCACCTGTTTCTTTTCTCAGGACCCACAGAGAGATGTTATCCGGCCCCATCGCCTTTGAGATATCTAGTTTACTTAACCTTTTCAACTCCTCCTAGGTTGTATGTATCGTGTCAAGCACTTGTTGGTGTATCCCACCTCTCCGTCTTTCTGGAGTCCTTTCTGTCTCCACTATGAATACTTCTTTGAATCTCATGTTGAGCTCCTCACATACTTCAACGTCGTTTCTTGTAAACTCCCCTCCTCAGCCTGATTATCTAGTCTTTGACTGTTGTTTTCTTCCTGATGTGACTGTACAACAGCTTCAGGTCAGACTTGGCTTTCGCTGCTGTCATTTTCGTATTGTCGCTGGGCCTCCCTCCTTACCTGTGTATATTCAGTTCTTGCTCTTTGACTATTCTTCTTGTTCACCTGGGTTCTTTGCCTTTTATACTTCCATTCTCTAGCACACTTGGTTTTAGCCTCTCTACACCTTTGGGTGAACCAAGGGCCCGTTCTGACTTTCTCATTATGTCTGTTGCCCTGGGGTGCAAACCTCTCATCTGCTTCCTTGCATATTGTTATCACATATTCCATCATTTTATTTGTTGTTTTCCCTGCCAGTTTTCTGTCCCACTGGACCTCGTGCAGGAAATTTCTCATGCCTATGTAGTCCCTTCTCTTGTAGTTTGGCTTCATTCTTCCTGCCCGTCCTGCCTCCCTCTCTACTTGTAACTCTACTGTTTTCGAAGCTTAGAACCACGTGATTACTACCTCCGAGGGGCCTTTCATATGTGATATCCTTAATATTTACACTTCTCATGGTGAATACAAGGTCCAGTATTGCTGGATCATCCTATCCTCTCTCCCTACCTCCAACATCTTAGCCCTCCACGTTTCTGGGTCCCCATGTGGCTCCAGGTTTTCCCAATCGATATCTTTGTGACTGAAGTCACCCACAACTAATAGCTTTGCTCTACCCACATGGGCCTTTCTGGCCAGTTCAGCCAGTGTGTCGACCATCACTCTGTTACTTTGCCTCCTGCTATTCTGTGGTGGGTTATACATCACTGCAGTCACTACCTTGGGACCTCCAGTCTGAAATGTTCCTATTGTTTAGTCTCTTGCTTCTCTGTCCCCTCTCTCCAATTCCTCAAAATCCCATTGGTTTTTGATGATCAGTGACGTTCCTCCACCCCCCTATTCCCTCTGCCTTCCCTCAGATTCTGATATCCAGTTGGAAAGATAGCATTTATTATCATTCTTGTGAGGAGTTGGGTTTCTGTGAAGGCTATGATGTCTGGTGATGCCTCTGTGGTTCTTTCGTGCCACTCCTCCCACTTATTCGTTGTACCATCAGCGTTGGTGTACCATACCTTCAGTTTTCTCTCCAGCACTGTATTCTGGGGGGTGGGAATCCTGGCAGGGTGCTATGGGATTCTAATGTGTATTGTGGGGTGGGGGTGTGTGTTTGGCTGTAGGGTTCTACGGGTGGTTCTGTTGGTGTTTGCGTACTCTGCTCCACTCGACTCTGGTTGTTCTCTACTAACTCTAGCTATGTTTCTCTTGCCCCTTTCGTCTCTGTGTCCTCTTTCTCAGCTGTTGTCGTTCTTTCATTCTGTTTCGGTCTAGGAACACTCTGGTATGCTGTTGAATCCATGAACTGTGGTTTCTCCTGCAGGATCCTGTCTCTCACCATTTCTGTCTTTGAGTATCCCCCTATTCTCTGAAAATTTATTAGCTCAGACATGTCCTCCTCTCATGTTTGTTTGATGATATTTTCAATCTCTTGTTGTTCTTTCCGCCATCTTTCATCATGTCTTCCCTACGCTCTCCTGAAGCCCGTAGATGAAAATGAACCTTTCCCTCTCCTCCTTCCCATTGTGTGTGTGTGTGTGTGTGTGTGCGTGTGAGAGAGAGAGAGAGAGAGAGAGAGAAGAGAGAGACAGACAGACAGACAGACAGACAGACAGAGAAAATGGTTAAATTATCAGGATACTTCAGAAGGGTTAAATAACATTGCTGGGTGTCAAGAATATGATGTTAAGGATATCAAAAATATGAATTACCAATGTGGTAAATTAAAATTTTAAGTTAATATTAAGCAAGGCGATGGCGCTGAATTCTTCTCCAGGCTGAGGGACTGACCACCTCAAATACTCTTTTTCCAAGGTTGACGGACTGATTACATCATCTTTATTTCATTTCTACTGCTCTCTTTGTATCTGACTGAAGAAGTCTACTGTGTAGTTGAAATGTTTCAACAATAAAGATACCCAACTGTTGCACATGTATCTTAATCTTCAACTTGTCAGGATTTTATATCATTCTCAATATCACAATCACGGTACACTGCACTAACACACAGGTGAGTAAGGCACATGTGCAGCATTTAGGTAGAAGAATGAGACACTTTATTGAGGAAATGTTTCGCAAGCCAATGGCTTCTTCAGTCCAATATACTGAAGAAAG